TTTTTTTTTCAAATGTTCATGTTGTGAAAGGGGGATAAACTTCCTTCATGAAATAGAGAAGCAATAAATTATTAGCGATATTAAAGCTTTCCTCGATGGATACCTTCTTGATGTTGTTGAGCCTTGAGTAACATTGAAGTTGTGCTCAATGTTACTTTGAAATCCGAGCGATCAGAGTTACTATTGATCATTGCTTTATGTTTCGTGTTGTAGGTATCAATTTGGAGCGATTGGAAACGATAGGAGACTCTTTCCTAAAATACTCGGTCACCGACTACCTCTATCATTCTCATCCAGACCAACATGAGGGCAAACTATCTTTCGCTAGAAGTAAAGAGGTATGTATTGCTTGTTAGTTTAAATCATTAAAGTATATCGATTGGTTTTTACATAGTAAGCAACCTATTCAATAAGCCTAAGTGCTGTTTTACTTATAAACACATGAAGTCTGCCTGCAGTGTTTTCATGTGAGGTGGTGCATTCCGCCATCTGTAAAGCAGTTGGGTTCAAATTCATGATTTTAAGGTCTCAAATTGCAACCTTTATCGACTTGGCAAACGTCTAGGGATACCATCGCTAATTGTTGCCTCCAAGTTTGACGTGTACGACTCTTGGCTTCCTCCGTGGTAAGTTTATTTACTTCAAAATCATTCGCCGGACAAGAACTGGTTGGTATCTGTGGCTAATATTTAAGCTACATGCCGAACAACGACTTCAAGGCTCCAAATTCTGAAGATGCAGAGGAGCGTGATAAGTTCATTGAAGATGTTCTCGAGGGCAACGAAACTGTTCAGAAATTGGTAGGTGCGCCTTTTTGACATCAGTTCTCATCGAGGCTTACCTTTTACCCTTCGACTAGGCAGTAGAAATAGAAGATCACGAGGGAGTGTAATCGATGCGTATCCCTTTTTAAAATCCCTTCAACATATGTTAAAATATTATTCACTCCTATGAATTACCGGCCGCTTCGTCGCGACGTAGCTGTTAGGTGTGCAGTACGGCTTGTTCAAGTTTCGTGAGTGATAATACTATTTTAGCCGAAACCGGTAACTGGGTGGGATCAGGCGGACATGAATAACGATGTGCGACAACTGGAGAATGGTGTGGAGACTATCAACTTTGCGAAGGTCCAGATTGTTTTTATTATTCTTTATTGGTTGTCAAATTAACTCCCCTTCCATGCATTATCATCTGAATCTTTTAGTCTCTCATCGTAAACATTTTCAGCCATGTGCCAATACTGCGGCGCTCGAGGAATTGCCACCCTTACCGTACAATATGTTGACGCAACAATACATCAGTGACAAGTCGATCGCCGACGCAATTGAAGCTCTGATCGGTGCTCATCTGTTAACCTTAGGACCTCGGCCTACGCTCAAAGTAAGTTGTATTTTTTTGAAGAAATCCAAAGGTTGGGCTATTGGTTTTATCAGGGCGGTGTGAAGCCATACCCTTTCCTCATCCGTTTCCTCTCATTCGCTTCGTCTTGCGCCATGTCTTATTGTTTGTTGGTTGTCTTGCTTAGTTATCTCGTCTTGGGATGCAGTACATGAATAACGCTTTGCTCCGCACAAACATTGCGTTTCAATATTACGACCATCCCAGTGAAGGCTTCTGCAGTGCAGACCTAATCTCACCGTTACCCAACTAGGGTGCAATAAGGATTCGTGGGAGTAACGAGCGCCCCATTCGCATGATTGGCTGAGAAATCTCGGTTCTCTGGCAATCCGAAAGTGTCGAAGCAACAAGTTGCACACTGATTAATTCCAATCCAATATCGACTATAGACATATTCAAGCTCTCCAAATAAGTTGGGAAGGGTTCGATTGCATAGCATCTTTCGTCATCCATTGACTTGTCTTGAGTCTGCCTTCTAATTTATTTTCGTTTTTTTTAGAATCTTACCGCACAGAACTTATTCATAGTCTTTGATTTGAGGTTATGAAATGGCTTGGTCTAAAAGTACTGACGGATGATGTGGAAAGTGTCGATCCTTTGTTAAGGTAGGACTTAATTTAAAGCGAATCGAAAAAGTCGGAATAAGTACTGCACTTTCAGATTTGTGGACACGCCCGAATGTCCTGATATGGCCGAGCGGCTGTTGCAGGATATGTGGCAACAATTCAACTTCAGTCTGCTGGAGGATCGGATAGGGTTAGAGGGATTTGTTTCCTCTGATAAAGCCTTTGTTATATTGCAGAGGTTGGTTCCAGGTATCGTTTCAACAACAAAGCCTACTTACTGCAAGCATTCACACATGCTAGCTATTTCAAGAATCGAATAACGGGTTGTTATCAGGTAAAACTCCAATTTGCCGTGCTTTATTCTCTTAACCAAAATGGCTTTCTTTTACAGCGCTTGGAATTCCTTGGTGATGCTGTACTTGATTACATGATCACACGATATCTATTCGAAGATGAACGACAGTACAGTCCTGGGGTATTGACTGATTTGCGCTCGGCTCTCGTAAATAACACGATTTTTGCCAGTCTTGCTGTGAAATACGACTTCCACAAGGTATTCCCCCTCACTTTTTTTTCCTACCGATGAAGTTTTCCGGACATTTTCGAGTGTTACATGTGTGGTATTCAGCATTTTATTGCGATGTGTCCCGGTCTCCACCATATGATCGAGAAGTTTGTGAAACTTTGCAGTGAGCGGAACTTCTTCGATGCCAACTTCAATTCGGAGGTAAGAATGTGTTCAGATTCACACTTCATTCAAAGCACAATTTCTTGTTTGCAGTTAAAGGTAGTAGTTAAATTTCCATATCGGCCCAAACAGGGCAAAAATAAAATGAGGAAGGGTACTTGGTAAAATTTCATGGTCTTAGTGGCAATTTATTTTATAATAAAGCTCTGTGCTCTGGATACAGAGCACAGGAGGCCCACACTCTCTTTTACCAACCAAAAAAGTCGGTTGTTCGAACGTTCGATTATACAAATGATTCATTCATATATTATACATTCGAGACAGCCAGCGACAGTTTGCTTTAAGATGTACATGGTTACAACTGAGGAAGAAATTGATGAAGGTCAAGAAGAGGATATCGAAGTGCCGAAAGCGATGAGTGACATTTTCGAGAGCGTTGCCGGTGCAGTGTACCTTGTAAGTTGATTTAAGTCATACTTGTGCTTTGTAATCCTACTTCTGCGACTCCCTGTGGCGCTTGAGCCTGGAGTAGACGCTCAATCATATATATCAGACCTTGAACTGAAATAGTTGGCATGTCTTTAAAGGATGCGAACCGTGATTTGGATATTGTGTGGCGGGTGTTTTTCAACTTGATGAGGCAGACGATAGAAGAATGCTGCGCGTATCCGCCAAGATCGCCGATTCGTGAGCTCATGGAACTTGAACCGGGAAAGACTCGTTTCAGGTCATTTCTTAGATTGTTTCATACCATACGCTGGGCTCTGTTCCTTTTTTAGTCTTTTTCCTTTTTCATTTCTCAATATAATTGCAGGTGAAAAACTTCGAAGATTGGTTTTGTTTTTAGTAAAATGGAGCGAATAATTGAGAGCGGAAAGGTGCGAGTGACGGTGGATATTGGAAATAAGATGAAATTCACAGGCATGGGACGAAATTATCGTATAGCAAAGACGACAGCAGCCAAGAGGGCGCTCAAGTATGTTGACATTTGTACGATTTAAATGTCGACTGTTGAATCACAGCAGTACAAAAAGGGCATGCATGGTTGTTACTATTGGTAGGTCAAGGCTCTCATGGGATTGACTCACTTTTCTTGGTAGAAGCAAATATTGATCCGATCTTATCCAATAAATTAGTTAAAACAGATTAATATAGCTAACTGATATAGAAGCAGACTGATAACGAAATGTGGAAAACATTTACATGCTCATCTACTATTTCGGTCTTAGCACTGGAGTCATTCCTGAGTTATCTCCTTAGAAACAACCCATTTCCCCTCCTATACCACATGTGGCGCTGTGAGATAGGAAAACGGCCTAGATGTAAGGGTTCGAAGATTACATGCTGTCTGCCGCACCCAACGACGGACGAGTTCAAATGGTGTTGTAGAGGCTGCTGTATTCACAAAGAACATCAATTTCGGGAGTTTAAACAGGTCGTATATCATGGCGGATATGGGAGGCAGTTTTGAACATTTCCTGGCTCAATATGGTCTATTTACGCGCAACAACTAAAATGTCGTCTAGTTGCCGCTCTCATGCCATTTCCGTCATGGAAATCTCGTAGAACTCTATTTTCATCACATTTAGGAAGATGTGTGCCTTTGCCTTTGAAGGCCTGTATACGACATTTCGATGTACTGGAAATTGGAGATAGTAATGGTCATCGCTTGCCAGAAACAACTTAAACACATGGGAGATGCTACCATCATTTTAAGATTTTTTTTTTGTTCTCAATCGCTCTGAAAGGGGAATCATCCTTTGTAGACTGTATGGCACAAGAGGGTACTAACAATAGGTAACTTTCTGATTCTCATGAACTCTGAATTCGAGGTTAAGTTTTGTGGGATTAACTGATAGGGTTAGGTTTAAATTCAATCTAGTTATCGGTAAGAAAATGTCCATTCATCACTTGTGGCGCTTTCTCCATAACAAAACGAGGTAATGATGAATGGTATGATCACTAAAATAATGTGTAGCTATAACTACAGAACATTTTTGAGTTTCTTGAGTTTGAAAGGTATCGACCACTTTAATTTTAGGTATCTCAAAAGTTTGGAAGAGCAGAAACTACGCGAAGCTGAACGAACCGTGACTATGAGCACTTAATTGCCGTTGGGTTCTCTTGGTCAGCTGATCGTGAGTCTGAGTGTCTTTGTTATCTGTGAACTGTTTAGTCTAGTCGAATCCGTATAGTATTGCCTAGAACGAGTGTCTCTGGTATCTCTTACTGTGAAATATTGGGTATACAATGTACTGCTATCAAAAAGCACTGCTTAATCTATGAAAGATTAATGTGTTTTTCTTTATTGGGTTTTATATAGCAGCAATGATCTTTTGATGGGTTTGCTCGATTTCAGTATGTAATGAGAGAAGCTTTTCTAACTGTTTCTCTAAGCGCTTTATCGATTCTGGGCCGTTATCTCATTGGAATGTTTTTGAACTTTACTTGAGATTATTCTTATGTGATTAAATTGATTTTACCAACAAGTCGTTTTTGTACACCTCGAAAATATTTAATAGCAAAGGGTGCGGTCAAACCCTTGTCGGCATGGCCAGAAGACGATAGTAACGTAATTGATCTTACAGGGTTTTTGAGTGAGCCAAGCGATTAATGGCAACACCTGTTCAAGGTCTCCCTCGGTCAGGCGTGAGATAGAAGTGTCTGGGCGATAATTCAAGCATCGGCGCCAGCCTCCCTCTTATGCCACATATTTTAAACACTCGTAAGCAGAGGGTGTGTGGCTCGTTCTAGAAGAATTGTTCTCTTCATTTCATTGCTTCACATTTTTTTTTGAGAATTACTTGGGATTAAGGAGATCGCCAGACGACTTGTAAGAGTAACAGCCCGTCACCAACAGAACCGACGTGAGCTGAGAATCAGCCGGTGCTGGGCCCCAACACCGCTTTTCTTTTTTTGTTGAAAGGCGGAGTGCGTTTTTACAATTCTTTGAAACGATTTGTCAACACAGCGTCTGTGGAAGTATTTGAATGTGCCGCGATATGTCGAAAGGTTTGTTCGCTTGTTGGATGGGGCGTTGTTGTATGTTCAGCTCACTGTAAGTTGGAGCTGACAACCAATTCATGGGAGCTCATGCCCTCTAAAGATGAGGAATCGTCGGCTTTTCCCTCGTTTTCATTTCATCTATTGGGTTTTTTCTCCCGCTTTTGATGCTTTTATTGGTGCTTTTACATTTTCATTTTTTACTTCCCGTTTCCCAGCTCGTGAACCCTATGGTCTCCAAAATCAGATCTTAAACGGAAACACCTGCTTCCGTAATCAACTGATTTTGTTTTTCTTTCTCCAAAGATTCGGTTACAATCTGCGTTTAGACTAGCTTGTGCGCTTGATATCGCTCGCTGTCGCTTCGTCTCTTTACGCTGCTTCACGCTGCCTGTTATTGTTTCATGTCAGACATCGTCACCTGTGTGACTTACCGTCTATAAACTTCGTCCTAAATGTCACTGTCATTCTCATTTTCATTCTTTTCCTGGATCTATATTTCTACCCCTTCCTCTCTTTGATATCGCGTCAGACGGTTCTTCATCTGTCTGATAGCCCTCTTCATCACTGACCCTTACTAACCCATCAACTCTTTCCTCCCAATCTCGTTTAAAAGCCCATTACTATTATAGTTCATTTTCGTGACTCACCTATACATTGTTTTTGCTGTCACTGGCTAATTTTTTTCGCTTTTATTCTTTCTCCCGCACATTTTTGTATGTGCTTGGTTGTAAGATTCCCTTTCATAATTGAAGTCGTTTACCTAAATAGGTAATCGATCGTTCCACTTGCCCTTAGCTGGAACAGTTTCTTCTAGTTTTCATCAATAGGTTGCCGTTATAAGAGAAAGAAAGTCCCTCGTCTAGTGCACAAACCGAGAATGGAGAATGCCAACTCAGATTTACGGTCAGAGAGGGTGCCTGAAGCTCTGGAGCACTAGGGCTACTTCTGTCCCATCATAAGTCGAAAATTCGGAACTACTCGGTATTTCTGAAGCATAGCAATTATTTGAATCCACATAATCATCTATAACTCTATGTTCCTCCAGGATTTTAAGTTCTGGAGTTTTGCTCATACCCTATTCGAAGGCGTTTTCAATGTCAGGACCGGCACCATTCGGTCACCATCGTGCTGCTCGTAACACTGTGACTGTTACATCAACTAAAACTTGTTATTTCTACTTTCTATATTTATTTTCATTCATTGCTGCCCGCTTTCGTGTGAAACCATTTGTTTTCTCACGAGCATAAGGTCATGGACGATTAGATGTGATACGAAAACAATCGTCTTGTTTGTGCTTTGATTTCGCGTCACTGAAGAGGAATGAACATTGGAGGGTGGGGTTAGTAGCTCGAACACGAGTTTTCTCAAAAGCTCACCGAATATTTAAGTTTGTTCCGATCCCGTTTTGGGTTGCGCCCCTCATTCGACTTCTTTTCTGATCGTTTTGAATGCGTATACTGCCTATACAATGACTCGTGAAGAGCAGCTGATGAAAAACTCAATGCTTTTAATCTCCCAGATCACTATGGTACCAATTTATTGACCTCGGAGGAATGGAAGGCCAGGTTGGTTTAGACCAATATATGTAGGATGAATTGCGAACTATTATACACTCATGATCCGGGGATCGAATCCCAGACTCCTGGGATTCGATCCATGGATCATGAGTGTGTAATAGTTCGCAATTCAACACAGCTTTCTATCGCTGCTCTCGGTATCTTTTTGTGCAGGTAGTTCATCGTAGCCGCATACTGTCGCCTGTTAATAACTTTCCGGCTTTGGACGTGTTCCCTTGTCTCCTTTCGTTGATTAGTTCGTTCTCTCATGAAAGTGGATAGTCAAAGTCGTTACAAATACTCTCTATGGAAGCCGCCTAGAATAATGCTTTACCTTCGTTCAACTTTATCGATGTTGCTTTTGATGCCTCCTGAAGCTTGCCATCCAAATTTCGATAGTATTATCATGTGAAGGGCGGAGGTGGTGTAGTGGCAAGTGGCGCACTATATCACACGCATGGTAAGGG